AAAAATTATTATGATGTGGCCCATGGCTCTTGTGGCCTGCAACGTGATCACACGCGGCTGAAAACCGCGCCTTTCCATTGTATGAAGTTGTCTTGTAGGTGAAAATTTTTACACGACCCAGCTTCGGCAAAAAGCGGGCGAAAGAGCGTCGAAAGCGCGGCGTAGTTGTTGCGGCGACCCGCACGATTTTCCAGAAAAATTCCTCCTTTTTTCAATTTTCAATAACTCCCGTCACTTTACACTTCAATTCTAAACACAGTACAGAACACATATAGCAGAGAAGCTTTGTTGTCAAGCAAAATAACACTAGCGTTACAAATTATTAAAAGCATCAGCACAAACAACTCGTTTCCGAGAGTTATTGTCGTTTGATGAGTCGTTGACTCGTTGTGTAGACGCTGTTTCTCGGAGGGCATGGGCAATATGCAGCATCGCTGCCTGGCAAACCCATTGTTCCGGGTTGCCCTGGTCGCCCGGGCTGTCCCGGAAGTCCACGCATTCCTGGTTGTCCTTGCGGTCCAGGTCGTCCAATTGATCCTGGTCGACCATTGTTTCCTCTTCCACCGGGTCGTCCCTGCATGCCAGGTCGTCCAGGAGGTCCTGGTGAACCGGGCTTGCCGCGTCCGCGTTGACCATCGCGACCTGGCTTTCCTGGCCCTCCTGGGCGACCAGGTGGTCCTGGCATGCCTTTGTTGCCTGCCGGACCAGGAGGTCCAGGAGGACCGTTCTTGCCACGATTTCCAGGTGAGCCAGGTCGTCCTAGTGGTCCAGGTCGGCCCATTGGTCCCAGGGGTCCTGGCGGTCCTGGAGGTCCTGCAGGGCATCGCACGCATTCTCGACTGATTGGTGGGCAGGTGATCGGGGCATACACCTAAAATAGTGCTCATAAGGAGAGGCTTTCGTCACTTTTAGCTTCGGGTAAACTTACTTGAGTATTGTCGCGTCCAGGTGGTCCTCGTTGTCCTGGTGTTCCACGCATGCCGGGCATGCCAGGTGGTCCCGGTGGTCCCGGTGGACAAGTAGGTGGTGTCGGCTCGCACTGACACCACGCCGGCAGGTTGCCCCAGTTCTGTCGTTTACGACGGAATATGGAGTCAAGCGGATTCTGGCGAGGTTTCGACGGCGGACTGACGGCGATCTGGATGTCCATCATGTCGATCCACGCCGAGTCGGTCTCCAAACGGAACACCGCCACTGAGTCGAGTACCTGAATCAGGGAGAAGAGTGCAGGGGTTCTGCGGATAGCACAAAAGTCATTCTTTTGAGATAATGATGGTTTTTATAATAAATTAATATAATTAGCTGTTCATGTAAACTCTTATTGAACATTCCTAGGGGATCTTGCCAAAGCGCCCTCGAGCACGCTGCAAGTCTAGCCCGACCCCTTTTCTGCAAATGGAGCAGCTGGCGTCAATCGGCTGCTTTCTGGATTGCGCCACGCATTCGATCTCTCATCAAAGCCTAGTGATATTCTAGTGCGATTGCTTGTTAGTGGTGCCATTGACTGATTGTTTTACGAGCCATTCTTAACTTTTCTTCCAACGAAATCGCTAGTGCTGTGTTTTTTAATGTTCCCCAGCATTTGCGGGTATCCACCAAAATCCAACCCCTCACGTGAAGCCAAACAAGCCCGCTGACACCTCTTCCCCGACGCCAAGGAATTCGGTTGTGATAAAATGGGTATCTAACTACTGGGCCGGGCGACTAATGAAGCTGGAGCGGGACTTGTGAGAAATGAGTTCCAATAGGGTCATTAGATTAATAAGCTTACACCCTGCCTGACATGTCCTCGGACTACCTTTTCACGTTTTTCTTACAGTTGTTCAGTTAATCTGGAGCTCGGCGTACGCCAGTTTGCACCCTACTGGCTCAATGGCTGTACCGTACCAAACAGATGACGTTACAGTCAAAGCGCTAGGGTTGAAGTAAGGATCTATACACCACCAAAGTCACATGAGGCGGCGTAATCACTTGACCCTGGAAAGCTATCAGTAAATTGTTGTAAAAGGGCTACATGGATGAAGTATTTGACCCTTTTAGGGATGCACTATGAACACTATGTGTATTCGGGATCGTATTAGCGCGATCTGGCCTACACAGCGACTTTCGGGGGACACCTGTTGTACAAGTCAGTGTTTTCATCCTCCCAGACGAGTTTGATACCAATTAGCCACGTAATGATTTCCAGGAATAGAGGACTACGTATGCGTACAGGACGTACAGTAGTGGACTTAATCTGGGGACCTATAGGGTTCCAGTTGGCTCCACTTGCCAAAACACCACTTCTGTCCCTTATTAAATTGATGCAGTAGATTTAGTCGGCTTATTTCTAATGGCTGCTTGCACTCGAACAGCTTGAGTGTTGAGCTTCAGTTTCTGGTTGATATCCCACTAAAAGGATAAAATAGGACCCTCATCATTTGGTAAGCAAGTGATTTGGTTGATCCCATGCCCAAGCAAACTATCTTTTGTTGATGAAGATCGAACGCATGGCTTATCACAAAGAATTACGTGATCGATAGCCAGCCAAACGGGAGTAACCAGCAATCGCTATTTCAAACTGTTTCGACTCTAACCCCCCTACATTTGGTTCATTCTTTACCTAGCACAACTTAGAGACATGATCGGCCATTTGTAGCGAGGATGGTTGCAAGTAGCCATCTTCGAATCATGAAAATTCACCGCAATTACCTTACTGGCCTTGAGATGTCTACTTGACCGCATTTTGACATGCTTGGGTACGGTTCTACTCGCTCCAAACGCATCAATGAACGAGTTGGTTTCGAGATATGAAGATCATCAAGTAAGCAAATCTGATCTGATATGCTCCTCAAGAATTTTTTGCAGAAAGTATACCACTCTTGCGCCAAGTAATGGCATTACGAGAGGCTCAGCGCGCTTTGCTCCATGGCAAAAATTCTTCTTGGAACGTGAGCGGCTGAATTGCTAGGGCATCTCTCTGAGGTCGGAAAAAAGGGGACCTGTTTCCCAAATGAGTCAGAGATAGACTGCTCGGAAGCACCCTTGTGCGCGGGCGCTTCAGATACACATACAATCGCTTCTAGTTGAGATGCGGATGCATGGCGCGCACTAGGAAATTTCCACTGCAGCCCGAAATGCAGGAAAGCTGCTAATGCCAAATGAACCACAAATCACAATCAAGTGGAAAAGGCTTACTGTAGAAGGAAATGCCTGAAGGAGCACATACCCTGAATCTGAAGGAGTTGGGCAGTACCTGCTGATCCTAAAGGTTTCTCTTGACGAAAGGCTTCGCGCTTTCAAGGAACATTAGCGGCAGTTATCCCTTCGAATCAGCTGCAGAAGCAGCCCTACTGTAGAAGAGTCGAGTTGTATGAGAGATGATAAACCCTATGGAATATAAGGACTATGGAAGATAGAGGTGTCAGTGACAAGCTCTAGAT